GGGGTGGGGGTATAGGGTGCATGTTGGGGTGGGGGTATAGGGTGCATGTTGGGGTGGGGGTATAGGGTGCATGTTGGGGTGGGGGTATAGGGTGCATGTTGGGGTGGGGGTATAGGGTGCATGTTGGGGTGGGGGTATAGGGTGCATGTTGGGGGTGGGGTATAGGGTATGTGTTGGGGTGGGGGTATAGGGTGCGTGCTGGGGGCGGGAGTAGTCAGTAAGCTCTGTAGTTGTGCTCCTGAAAGGGCACGGTGGGACCCATGTCCCTCCCTGTTGGAACAGGCTTTAGAACTAGGACTAAAGGAGGACTAAAGGAAGGGTGGCTCAGAGGGTGGGGCACTCACATTCCTAGCCTGGCTGTGCTCACACACCGGACTTTCCTTGGCCTGGCAGCATGACAGCCCCCAGGCCATTCTGTATGCAGAGTTCTGTCCGTTTCTCTGAGGTTACCTGGGGCTGGGAGCAGGGGACAGGAGGTGACTGGCTCTGTTTCTGTGGTGCCACAGAATTAGTCCTGGGAGCTGTCCCCTCCCCTCTGGCACCTGCACGCTGGGGAAGCTGCGTCTCTAGCAGTGTGCCTGAAACACAGGCTGCACAAATCAAGGTACTACCACTCCAGCCCTGTGACTTTGGGTAACTGTGGCAGCCTCTCTGGTCTCACTGTGCTATGGGAGATGATGTCACTGCATTATAGCTTGAGGTAAGTGTGGCTCTGTCTGGACGAAGGCCTGGCACGAGGTCTAGCACCATCAGTGGCTCGTGGTTCTTGTAATTGATGATCAAGGGGAGACACTTGGAAGGGGGTTAGCTCTATGCCAGATGAGGGTTAGGTTAGCAATAATCCCATTTTATAGACAGGCAAGAAGAGGTTCAGGTAGGCACATGGTTCATTCATGGTTATCAAGACAGAGGTGCCCCAGACTCCTGGCCAGCTCCTGGTAAGCTCTGCCCTCTCTGGAGTCAAGGTCATGCAGTACTTTCTTAAGTACCATTTGGGTGTCCTAGGGAAGGTGGAGGCCTGAGAATCACTCACCTGGTTCATCAGTAAATGTATCAAACCATCCACGAACATTTGTTGAGAACATGGCTCCCACCGAGCCCCATGGACTTGGTGGGAACTCACCATTGCAGACATGCTGTCCTGGGTTCCTGTCCTGATGACAAACTAGTCCGCAGCTGTCTCCTGATTCAGGAAGAAGCCCTGGAAGTTGGGGTCAGGGAAAATCCCCCCCATGGAGAGAGCTGGGAACCGAAGAGATCACAGAGATAAGGATGTGGAGAATGATACGGGTTATCACAGGCAAAGGCCAGGAAGCTGGAGGATGTGCCAGACTTGTAGGCACTGTGGCTCTACTTCAGGCCCTGGATGGGTCACAGTAAGAGACAGAAGCCACAGGCTGGGCAACCAGAGCCTCTACCCCTGGGTACTTGACTAGCATCCCTTCCCTACCTTTCCCCACAAGGAACCAGGTTTTCCAGAGTAACATCCCTCAGTATCCCTCCAGGGATGGATTACCTGAGGATCACAGCGACGATGAGGTGGATGGTTGGGACCTGCTGCCTCCCTGTGGCTCGTTTCCAGGAACACTTTATGGATCCCGCCTCACTCTGCACGTGAGTGTGTGGGCGCACATCTCAGAAGGATGCTCACCCAGGAAGTACATCGTTGCTGGGGGATGTGCACCTGTGGGTTACAG